ATTCTGTGATTCTGTGATTCTGTGAAAAGCTAAATAGATATTCTTGCTGTTACCAGTAGGCAAAAGTGTTCACATCACCATCTAAACACAAAGACTCTAGTGTGAAATAGTACAACGCACCTGTAAAGACAAACATGCTATAGACATCTATTTAATAATTATAAACTTAAGGGGGAGATGAAAATAGTCTTGTTTAGCCCAAGCTCACAGATACAATTTGAATATACTCTGGAGAAAAAAATCAGCACTGCTGTATGAATGGGAGTGTGCCAAGGAGAAATCTTTATCGGTTTCACGCTAGCGATTTCCTTGCGATCCCAGTATCGCCACCTTCTCAGCATGTCTTTCCACAATTTTAACGGGAGCAAAAGGATTCACAGCCCCGTGTACATAACAAGTGTGGTTGTGTTCAGAGCCAATGCATCAAGCAAAGGAGAAATGGTTGAACACTACCATAACTATAGGCTTTATAAGTTTTTATTGCCCACAAGAAAGGACGATTTTTAAAACCAGAGAAGCACCATTGTTCAAAGGGGAGGACAGATGAGTTACGTAGAGGCAATAAAAGCTATTTAGTGGTTTACCATAATGTGCACCTTCCATTCAGTACTAAACTTTAAAAAAAAAAAAAAAAAAAGAATCACTGGATTTTAAAATGTTCATTAAAAAAATCAGATAAGGAGTTCTGGGTTTTTGACAGAGATGAAACACAGTTGTGCTTGCTCATTTTTAACGTGGAGAGGGTTTCATGGTATTTTCTTTTATCATACTGTAACTGCTTTTGCTAATATTCTAAAACACATGATGCCAACAATGGCAAACTTCAAACATGCACTTGCACAGAGGTCTAAGACAGGGCTATAGGGCGCATTCAGTGGTAGGTCCTGGAATAAGTTCCCAAAACACTATATTGCTGTAAATGCTTCCTAATGCTGCCAGCACTTGGCCTTCCTATTTTAACTGCCTTTTCTTAATGTGGGGGAACAGCATGAAGACCTACTGAATTTAGTCCTGGGAGTGCTGCGCTCCTGGAATGATCCCCTGATCCATCTGGCCTCTGAAGTACAAAGAATCAAAGAAGCTCCAGACACCATCCTCTGGAAGGCTGTAGAGATTGAAGAACAAAACAGGCGGCTCCTAGAAGGAATGGAGAAGATAGTTGGGCGGGTAAGTGTTAGGTCCTTAACATCCTTCCAGCCTGTTGCTGTAAGGAAGACACACACAGTGACAAGCCTTCTCTACCTGGGACAGGAAAGGAAACAGTAGATGTGAAGGAAAAAAAGGGAGTCAAGAGATCTAAATCTGAGAACTTTTCAGCTTTCTTCTTTCAGCTTTCTTCTGCTATCTTGCAATTTCTAAAGAGAAGATGTGATGTGACAGGCATAGGATCATCCAGCACACTCCCAGTCCTGCTTCAAGGGAAGGTGTACTCACCAGGACTGGCAGTGGTCATTCTACCTTTGAGTATTTTAAATTTGCAATCCTGAATTTTTTTTAAGGATGTGTCTGTGTTTTTTCCACATGCACATATTTATATGTACATTTTAGCAAATTTATACACATCCATATACATGTAGGTATTGTGTATAGTTTTCTGAAACAGATACTGTGTTTAAAACTGTTCTGGAAGTCTGGGCTATTGCAAAGATGTGGCACACAGCAAGGCAATCATAGTACCTTTCACTTCTCTTTTTGCACCATCTTGGTTCCTCTCAGCTCTGGCTCTGACTTGGTTCCCCCTACACTTGTAAGGTCAGACAACAAAGCTGTTGTCTGACAAAACCCATTCTCAAATGCCCCTTGTTATCAGTAATGGATTGAAAGCTTTCCTGAATAAAATGAGCTCTAGCTTGTTTATTTTTCAAGGAGCCTCTGTTAGTCCCTGAATATATCATTCTGTCAGTGAGCTAGATGTTCACAAGAGGTTCTGACTTTACTGGCTCTTGTTTATGCTGTGAACAGTTGAACAGCATTAGGAGTGCCACCATCACTGTGTCCAAGACTTTCCACTGGATCACTCATGGTCTCTCTCTCTTTCAGTTAGGTGACTCTTTACTCAGAAACCTTAGTCCATCCAGGCCACAAATGCATTTATCAGTGTAATCAAATACGTCTCTATCCCATATCCACGTGCAAAAAAGGTGCAGGAAAGGATCCAAGGTAACAGTAGAAGTCAGGTGCTGCTACAGTTACCCTGTCACCACCTTCTCATTCACACTATTTCCAGAGGGAGGTTGAAGACAAGACTGGCCAATTCATTAGTGTCAAACCACATTTTTGAGTGATAGTAGGTCTATCTTTTTTGTCTCTTGCATAAACTGAGTGATAGAGGCTCCACAGATACTCTCCAATGTGCTTTTACACAGTGCAGCTGGCGGGAAATGAGGAAGATGCACAAGCACCAATAGGCACAGATTTCCTTCCTGCTATGAAAGGTAGATTTCTGCCATATAAGAAAAGTAATGATTGCCTCTTTCTAACAAGGAGACCTAAACCAATCTTCACCTTAGATACTAACTCACCACATGAGCTCCTACACCTACCTTTCTAACCACAAGAGATCACTGTATCACTCAGCATTTTTTTTTTTTTTAATGGAATCTAAGAGATTTGTCTGGTAAAATGTTCTTGAAGATGATGAAGCTGGGGATACACACAAAGAAGTCTAGAAACAAGTGCTAATAAAGATTTCAAGGTGGAGGGAACCAAAAAGAGATGTCACTGATGAGTCCATGTCTGAAGGAAGGTTTGATTTCTCTGCACTGGACACTGGTTCTCTTAAAACACTACTGATTCAGTTAAGCTGTTTAAACTTTTTAGGGAAATAAACTGAAAAATGTGACAAATTCATTCAACATCTGCATGAAGATACAGGACATGACACAGAATAGTGGGAACCATAACAGGAAACACTTTACAAGCCATACGCTAGCAACAAGCATCCCTAAAGGACGGTATTTTAAATGCTCTGCTCTACCTCCAGTCAGATTCGCCACCATTTACTACAGTACGTATCACTTTGTGTCTTTAGGTTCATTCTGGGGAGACTGGAAATGAAATTTACTCTCAGTGGGAAGGCCTTCCATCCCTGCAACTCGCTGATGAGGACTCCAGGCTCTTTGCCTTTTACAACCTGCTGCATTGCCTCCGCCGAGATTCCCACAAAATTGACAACTATCTCAAGCTTCTGAAGTGCCGCCTAATCCATGACAGCAATTGTTAAGTCCTCCTGGGCCTCATCACTTACTGAAACCCTTCATCACGGTGTTCTTGTTGCTTTGTCACTTTTTATTGCAAACTTGATGAAAAGTCACACTGTAGAGCATCAGGATCATCGGGAACTTCCAGGCATGTTTGTGTGGATTCTGGCTGCAACTGTTAGCGCCATTTATCTTGGTGGTTTAAAGTGTTCTAAATTACTTGTATGACAGGAATACACTTTTCTGTCTAATCTCTTCAGCTAGTAGTATTTCTGTGATAATCAGATCATGCAGATAAAAATTAAAATGTTATTAAATCCAAAGCGCGTAACGCTGTGTGGTATCAGTGAATGAAAGATAGCTGGTATGGTTTATACCTTTAGCAGTAGCTTCTCTTTTTGGATCTCAGTCTACATTTACTGATGACAGAATATCTTACTTCCATTGCTCTTTACCCCCACTCCAAATCAGAGGGGGATAAAAAAGGAGGGACCTCAAAAAGCAGATTAATCACCTATTACACTAAACTACACTAAACGGAAAAATAGGGTCTGAAATCCAATCTACTTGGATTTCAGGTGACTCTTTACTCAGAAACCTTAGTCCATCCAGGCCACAAATGCATGTGTTTACTCTGTACTTACTGTACAAGAACAGTCTGAGTAGAGGAGAGACAGCTAAGAAATACATCCTGGCTAACATAGCCATTGATTCTCCACGCAGTCCATGGAGAGTTAAGGATGGAGATCCAGGCATATCTACGTCTCTACTGACTATTTGGAGAAGAGGCATTTCCAAAGGGAGGTTTATTATGTCTGAGGTGAGTATCTGCAGGCAAAGGAACCAACAGGTTTCAGTAGATCCCAAGAGGAAATGCTGGGCATCCATATCATATCCTACCCTTCACATTCCTCACAAGTGATGTGGTGGTTGCAGTTGCTCAGAAAACTTTCAACCTATAAAAAGGCACAAGCTGAGCTAAGGTGTCTGCTGTCCTAAACCCTAAGTGCCTCCATTCACATTGGGTTTAGTCACACCCAAAGTTTTTAGGGCACTCATTTTAAAACACTCCTATTACACATCAGAAAATTGGAGAGACCAAAACAATTGACTACTTTTGAAAAAATGTGGCTTGCAGTCTCACAGCAAGTAAGAAGTCAAATAGAAGCTGGAGCCATTGACTGTATCTATACATTGACCTTCTAAGCCATAAACAACTCAGCCTTGGCTTCATCACTCAACTTGAGCAAAGAGAAGCTTAAATTCAAATCAGTTCCTTACAGGTTTGGCTTCCCACTAGACAAGCCTGCTACAATGCTCCAGAGTTGAGCCAGCTTAGAGGAAGAGTGAGACACCAGAGATGGGTTTGAGGGCTTAAGCCTTTCATTACTAAAACAGAATAAGCACAGTCATAACAGGTATTTACATAAGAGATTAGATAATACAAACCCCTAGAAAAGTCTCATTTTAGCCATCTCTATAAGGATGCAGTGATACTTGCATTTCTAATTTTATACATATATATATATATATATATGGCCTTCCAATCTCTTCATGTTTTCAATTACTGATTGCCTCAGGCTTTAAGTATATACTAAGGTCGTTTTTAATATATAAAAATATCACCTGTGAAGCAAACAAATTCCTTGTTGCATAGTCATAACTGGCATCTTTCATAAGCTCTGAAATGCACAAAACTTAGGGCATAGGCAACAGCATTTTAACAACACACACAGCGCTGTGCAACACCACAATCAAGGAAGAAAATGGGTAAAATTTGCCAGGCAAAATGCAAGTGCCCAGACTAGAATTTAATCTGATCATAATATTCTATTTTCTATTATAATGCCAATAGGAAAAAAAAAAGCATTTTAAAGAGAAAAAAGAAAAAAAAATATCCTTTGTAATTATCACAAGTGCTTAGAATTACAGCGTGAATTCTTATTCAAAAGAAAACATGAATAATGAGACTACTCTGTATTAAGCTGGAAAAAAGATTATGTCTCACTGAGTAAACACCTACCTCAGAATCTCTTTAGAATTCAAAAGCAACTTGATTAATATGGCAGACATTCATAATTTTACACTTACGTGACTAGATGTAAAACAAAGACTTTCAGGAACTGCTTAAAAATTACAGCGCTAAAGCTATTGTTTGAAACTTACATGCACTGGCTTTATTATAGCTTGTTTTAGCACAATTATGAGTTTTTAATTTCATAAAGAAAGATAGACGAGAATGACAAAAATAAAGATTCTAAACAACTGAAAAGCTATCTGGTTTGCAGCTGTTTAGCTAAAGGGGTATTTAAAAGTGATCTGGTTAATATTCTGAGTCATCACAGCTGTCACAGAGACAGAAAGACATCGAACCCCATGAGCATATTTAGCGCTCCACCTCCATTGTCAAGTGCCCTGGCATGGACAATGCCTTCAGACTCCAAACCTTCCAGCCACCACAGAGGCCAACTGGCAATTCTCTTTTTTTCAGTCGTTAATAGAAACAACATATTCTTATCTGACTAATATTTTGCTAATTAGTGCATGTTTGTAAGACCTGAGCAACTATTGTCTATCGTCCAATGAAAGTACATAGCCAATCTCTTATTTTATACAAAACTGATTTTAGAACAAGCATGTTCTTTCTAAATGAAAGAAATAAATATCAATAAGAAGGTTTTTTCCCAAGTGTGTTAACTTCTGGCTACTTCAGGTTCTCAAGAAATAAATATCAATAAGAAGGTTTTTCCAAGTGTGTTAACTTCTGGCTACTTCAGGTTTCCAGCATTCAAAATGGCTAGTTTTCTAATTATTTATTCAATACTCAAATTGGCCATATTTAAGTCTCTGTTGGTTTCTTTACTTATACTCATTTAAGATTGCTTAGTGATAGGAATGGAAAGGAAAGGTCCACATGGCTGAAATAAAAACTCAGTTCTGGTCCCTCTGAAAATGATATTCAGTCTTCCATAGATGGCACTAAATTTAAGATAAAATCTTGTGACACCAAATCTAAAGGGTATGAAGTTCAAACCACTTCATCACTGTGAGCATTTATCACTGAACACAAGAGAGCAACAGAGATATATAAAATAAAAATCTAACTTGCTATTCATGACTTGTGTCTAGACTCTAGCACTGCCGAGAGGGATGCACCCATGGACTCCACACACAATTCAATGTGAATTCTACTGGAGACCTTTATTATTGGTTACATGATCACTTATATACCCTTAAGCTGCCAACACACACACACACACACACACACATAAACAACTCTTCATTGGCTATAAACTACTGTTCACACGCCTGGTTACAATACTTGGTTGGATAAATCCACCTGTTCATGAGGCATTCTTTTGACTTCTGACTAGTTACACAAGAAGTTTTCTTATTTTGTTTTTCTTGCATTTTTTCTCATGAATCTATTTTTTCACCCCAAGTCAGAACTTAATTGCCCAAGGTTGAAGCCACCTGCAGCTTTGGCTCTTAAAGCACCAACATAGGACTATATCCAACCACTGGAGCAAACAGAAATAATTTTGAGGATGATTTTAAAGAAAGTAAGGGAAGGTTTTACTGAGAGTATCTGTCATTTGTAATCAGCTGCTTAACTAGTAATGTGATAATCTCTCTATCATCTTTTTTTTTTCTTTTGTTCTTTTGATATCCCACAAAAAGCCTCCAATGGTTTAATTTCCAGCAGGAAAAGAATAAAAATAAAATGAGACTATAACTTGGCAACTCATCTGTACAATACAGTTTACCTTCACAATATTATTTCAAAAGCAATTCACAATTCTAATAACAAGGGATACAGCACAGGAACTACACATATCTTCTAAGTTTAATTTCTGAACAACAGAAATTCTCTGAGGGCTACATTTTAAACTGTGTCTGCTTATTATAGATGTAATGTATACAAACAACAAATTACATCAGAGATGTAAACTCAGTAATCATAGTTATATATATTTCCATATACTAGAGAAATAAAATACTACAGTCAGGCGTGGGAACAACATCACAGGCACATACATTTCCCCTGAAATCACTGGGTTTACTGATCTGCAAAGCTTTTCACATACATGACTATTTCTATCTCAAGCTTTTAATGACTTGTGCCTGCAAATTACTTTGGTAAATCTTGAATACTAAAGCTGAGCTTCAATATTCAAGTCAACTGAAATTTAAGACTGACTATCCACAGGTTTATATTAAGTGTTAAAAAGAGGTTCAAAACTAGTTTAAAATATAATGATACCTTTTTGATGTTCCTTATCCTCATATCCATCTTTAGGAATGAAGCTAAATTCAAATAAACATCAGTCTTAGAAAACAGTAGGAATGTCAGCCATGGCTTTCCAACATTTTTTCCCCAAACAACTCAATGACTATTAGATAACATTTCAACAATATCGACTATCATTGGGATTTTAAGGCTATATTTAGATATAGCCCCTCATAATTGAACATCAAAAAAATGTACGTTTTCTCCTAGCAATTTTTCATTTCCTTTCACATATTCAACTATGAGGAGGAAATTAAAACAGATGAGTAATGCTGCCTGATGTCCTCTGAACAATATCTTTTTCCCCTATAGGTGAAAATGGTACAAACTGCCCTTATCTTTGGTGAAAAAGAGGTTCAGTCTTCTCCCATTTTCTTTGATCTGGGTTTTTTTTTTTTAAGTTCCCACAGACAGATTCTGTAGAACACAAAGGAAATACAATGCCATTTTAAAGGAAAATACAGAGCTCACCTTTCATTCTATAATTTTATCGTGCATTGAGGGGAAAAAAACAAACCCTGTTGCTTACTTTGTGACTAATTCTCTTTATGCTCTTTTAAACACCCAAGAAGCACTAGAACCTCATGCTAACATTCTGGTTTTTGGGAGAAGAATAAGTTGTCATGGCATACTGCCTTCTAATTCATACACCCAAAAGACAATTACAGAATACAATCACTTCTTGCTCCTTCCTCATGAAGGAGTGCTAAAGTTCCTTCACTAAGTGCTCACATTTTACATCAGTGTTGGCCAGTTCACACCATCTTATTTTTCTTGCTCAGTACACAGTGCGAGCAGTAACAAACCAAGTGAAAGGAGGTTATAGAAAGACTTCCCGGGTCACAGAGACACTTGGTCTCTAGCTCAAGAAGTACTGATGCATAGACAGATGAATGTTCATTTCCTATTTACTACTGACACTGAGCCTCACTAAAAGTCCTAAGGACATCTCTTGGACTGAGCCCTTTACTGCGAATTCCTGTATTTCACAAATATTTTAAAAATGATGGCATAGACACTAGGCAGAATTTT